CTTTTGATTTCTTGATTGCTAGTGCTAAGGGTATTGATTGTGGAGCCAAGCAAATGATAATTGTTAACAACCTCAATCTCTTTTCCATCTATCATGGTGCAGCAGTGATGCCCAGTGATGAGAATCTTTGCCTTCTTCATATTGAGCTTCAATCCATGTTGAAGACCACAGTCCTTGACTTTCTGCAGCAAGTGCTTCAGGTCTTCCTCAGTTTCAGCAAGCAAGGTTATATCATTTGTGTAACATAGGTTGTTGATGAGTCTTCCTCCAGTCCGGATGCCACATTCCTCCTCATAAAGCCCAGCCTCCTAAATGATCTTTTCTGATATACATTGAAAAGACACTGATACACTCCTTTCCTGATTTTGAACCATGCAGTATTTTATTGCTCAGTTCTGAGGTTTACTTCCCAGTCTGAGTATAGATTTCGCATGAGCACAATCAAGTGTTCTGGGACTCCCATTTTCCTCAAGGTTAGCCACAATTTGCTATGATATAAACAGTCAAATGCCTTTGCATATTCAATGAAACACAGACATTTCTCCAGTACTGTTTGCATTCTGCTGAGATCCACCTGACATTGATGATAATGTCTCTAGTGCCATGACCTCTTCTAAACCCAGCTTGTATTTTTGTTAGTTCTCTGTCAAAGTAATTGCTTGTGTGTAGCATTATGTTAGATTATCTTTTTTTTAAATGGGAATAAATATAAATACGGATCTCTTCCAGTCAGTTGATCAGATTTCTTGGCACAACCTGGTGAGTACGTCCAGGGAAGCATCTGTTTGTTGAAATATGTCACTTGGTATTCATAAATTCCCGGGGCCTTATTTTTGCCAAGTCCTTCCGAGCAGCCTGAACTTCTTCCTTCGTCACCTCTGCCTCTTGATAGTGTTGTTTTTTTGAAATTATTCATTGTCAGCCAATCTTTTCGGTACAGTGACTCTATACTCCTTCCTTCTTGTTTTAATGCTTCCTGGGTCATTCAGTAGTCTTCCTCATAGCATTCTTAAATATTGCCACTTGTGGCTTGAATTTTTTTTTTTTTTTTAGTTCCTTAACCTTAAGAAATGCTATCGAGTTCAGCCCTTTTGATTTTCCAATGTCAGAAATCTTGAGATTATACAGCAAATCAAGCATTTGGGCCAATATTGACTCAACACTTATAACTGGTCTGCTACTAATCTTAGCAGAACTAACGATGAATACATGAACACAGTAAAATGCTTTTGTATAGTCACATAGAAATTCTTCTGGAATGCACTGCTTTTAGACAGAATCCATCTGACATTAGGAAGGATAACTCTGTTATCCTGGCCTTTTCTAAACCCAGGTTCAACTTCTGTCAGTTCTTTATGTTTAACCATGTCAACTGGTATCCCTTTAACTTCTGGGGCCTTATTTTTGCCAATGCCTTTAGTGCAGCTTGAACTTCTTCCTTTCTTACCATTAGCTCTTGATCACTTATCAGCCAATCAGCTTACACTTGTTCCTTAACAACAAAAACAACAACAAAAAACAAACCCACGCCCAAAACGTCAAACAGTTTACACCCAGCTTTCAAGTAAATAAAAGACACCCCTCAGAATCTAACTTCTCCAAGCTGGAGACTCTCCCTCAGGTAGAATCCAGTAGATTTTTTTTTCTCCCCGAAATACTTCAAGGTCAGCTAATTCTTTTTGGAGCTTAACTCTGTCTATTCCTTCCATCTTGTTTTGCTACTTCTTGAATCATTCAAGGTTTTGCTCATAGAATCCTTCAGTATTCCAATTTGAGGCTTGAATTCATTTTCTGTTCTTTCAGCTTGAGAAATACTGGGTGAGTTCTTACTTTTTGTTCTCCAATTCCTGTCCTGTGCACGTTCTATTATACTACTTTGCTTGTCTTCGCAAGCTGCTCTTTGAATGTTCTGTTCTGCTCTTTTATTTTAGCAACTCTCTCTTTGTTTTACTTCAGCAACTTTCCCCTTTGTAGTCCAGGATAGAACTTAAAATTTATCTTTTTAAGTATGAATGAAATACCATTCCTTTTCTGTTTTTCACTCCAGGCATAGCATACCATGTCTTTGTGTTATTTAAAGTGGTCAGTGACAGTCCATCTCATCTCACTAATGCCAAGATTGGGGGTTTACCTATTTGTTGTTGTTGTTGTGTGCCATCATGCCACATGTGACTTATAGCCCTTAACCCTGCCCTGTCCTCTGTCAATCTCACTGGCTCTGACACACTTGCCTCATTCACCCTAACCCCTGTGTCTGTGGCTTATCGAGTGTCTTCCTCTCCTGTGTTCTCTCTCCACCCTTCCAAGCACTATGTTTTACTCCAAGGACTGGCCTTCTCGGTAACATGTCCAATATATGGGAGACAAAGCTTCAAAATCCTTGCCTCCAAACTACATCTTAGCTTCACTTTCTCCAGGACAAACCTATTTGTTCTCTTGACAGTCTATGGTATGTTCAGTACTCTTCTCCAGCAACGCAACTTGAAGGCATCGATTCTTCTTCTGTCACCATTAGTCATTGTCCAGTTCATCATTCTTTAGCACTCCAGAGAGGTGTCTGACTGCAGATGTTAAGTTCTCCTTAGGTTCGGCAAGCAAAGTTGTGGTTATGTACAAACCACGTTGTTGATGAGTCTCCTTCCAATTCTGATGCCCCATTCCGCTTCATAAAGTCTAGTCTCCTGAATGATCTCTTCTGCATGTCCACTGAAAAGACCTTGGAGGAAAACATCATGATTGAAAGGGTGAAGCTTCCGTTTAGGGAAGGAAAACACTGAAGATGGATTGAGACGATGTCTGTAACAATGACGTCAAGCATTTTGGAGATATTGAGGATGCCACAGGACAAGGCAAGAATCCAACTTTGTGGTTACAGGTTTGCTATGAGTCCAAGTTACAAGACATAACAACATAGCAACTTACTGAGCACAAGTGGAGTCAGAAGGTGGTGACGTCAGGTGGGCGGGTGGCTCTGGCAGCCAATCTGGGCCTTGTTCTCTTTCCTGAGGCCCCGCCCCACCCTCCTGGGGATCCTGAACTATCTACGCAGCTGTTTCCGGAAGCGCTCAAAGTCCTCTTAGGAGGTGAGTGCACGTTCTCTGCTTTGGTCCTGGGATCTGGTCTTCCGTCCCTCCCCAGCCCCCACCCCTGCTCGCCTCTCCTCTCAGCCCACTAGGTCAGGTAACAGCAGTGTGTCAGACTGCCTGAGATCGGGGCTTGCGCCGTCCACTCTCCCCTGAGACCACTGGGTCCACCGAAGAGTCAGGCTGCTTGGGCCCAGGATAAGACAGGGGTCAGATCTGTGTGCCTATGGTTGGCTATGAGTCCTCCTGGACTTGTGGGCACCTAACAACAACCTCATTTATTTAAAGCTGTGTATCTCTTTAATCTAACAGTTCTGGTAACCCAGTGATTTGAAGCCACAGGGTAATCACAAAGACACGAGGTTTGACTCCACCAACTGCTCCAGGAGAGGCTGTGGAATCTCCCCTGTGATTTACTGCCTCTATAAAGTTGCTGAAGGGCCGGCCAACTATGGGTGTGTTCTGACTTTGAGGCACACACAGTAATTCCACTAAACAAAGCTTTCGTTGTACTCACAAATTTGGATATCTTTCACTTTTCATTTTACTTTATGATTTCCTTTTTTGAGCCTGTATTATTAGAGTGCTAATAATTTCTATATACTGGAATATATTACTGAATTACAATGTAATTTTAGTCTGAGAAAACATGCTAATACACCATGATTTGATATTTTATATGCATTGAAAATGTTTTCTACAGTTACTTGTCTTAGTGATTAGAAAATTTCAGTAAGACCAAGACAATTAATGGTACTATTTAGGTTTTTCATATCCTTTTGTTCATAGTGTTCTATTGAGTTGTGCTTGACTCGATGGCAATCAACAACACCAACAAATTTATTTTTTTCCTTTTCAGATCTACTTGTTCATTGACAAGGGTTTTATAATTTCCAAATAATTCTCCTTAAAACATTAAAAGGTATATTTTAAATTTTTATTTTGTATTTACTTTATCTTTGATGAAGCCTTGGAAATTTTGCTAATATTATCGATAAAATAATAGTTTCTTAGTTCAAGGTAATAGGTATGCTTTTAGGTAGTCAGTATTTGTTCCAAATATCCTTTGATTCCAAGGTTAAAGCTGGGTGATAAGTTTATCATGACTTCCCAAAGAGACAACTTCCCAACATTGAAAGGAGGCCATAGGAATTTTGTTGCCCCTTTTGTAAAGGAGTGTTTTGTTCTTTTCAACCTTGTGTTTATTCAAGAAGCATCATGGGGATTTACTTGTAGGGCACTGGTGTACTTGTCCAGCATTACTTTTCAGTCTCTAAATGGACAGATGTAGATACAGGATTCACTGCAGAAGTTTTTGTAGTGAAAACGCTTCATGAGGCAGATGGCACTCTTTTACTTGGTGTGGATATTTGAAGACTGGCCAAGGATGTTATAAAGTACACAAGATGATAGTGACAGTTTACATAGGGTGTTGGTTGCTTGATCTGTGGCTACAAGCCTACATTGTTTCCAAATAAAGAATGCACCCAAGTTTGAACCTGAGTTGTGTAAATAGTTAAAGTCCTTTGCTGTTGACTTAGTCTTGGGAAGTCGATTGTACCCAGTAATGTCTTGAGAGACAGATCCAGTAATTATCTATGAGTATCCAGCAAGCCCTGGACAACACTCTGGAGCACAACTCCACTCTGAGAAAATATGTGTCTACATGAGTTGGAGCTGTCTCAGTACTTCTTTTTGTCAATCCATTGGGCAGTTTCAGAGATTTTGGTTGAGTGCAAGGCTTCTTAGCAGGGCATATGAATTTGTTTCTAAAATCCTGTCATTCTCTGTGCATCACTGGAACGCCTTCCTTCCCCAGTGTCCGTATAAGAGGCTGTGTGAAGACCTGGTTTTCTCCAGAGAACTATTTCAACCAGAAGGACTTTGCTGTCGTGAAAGAACTTGAAAATCTCAATAATGCCTTTGGAGCTAAGACAGGCCCTGGTGTATGTGCCACCACTGGCAAAGGCAAAGGATCCCCCACTCCCTGGATCAGCTGCTGTCCCTCAAGGGGAATTCTCCAGCCCTGAAGCTGCCCGGCAGCTTTTCAGATGCTTTCAGTACCAGGTGTTGTCTGGGCCCCACGAGACCCTGAGGCAGCTTTGGAAGCTCTGTTTCCAGTGGCTTCAGCCAGAGCTTCACAGCAAAGAGCAGATCCTGGAGCTCCTCATGTTGGAGCAGTTCCTGACCATCCTGCCTGCGGAGATCCAGATGTGGGTGCGTGCACAGCGTCCCAGTAGTGGAGAGGAGGCTGTGACTCTAGTGGAGAGCTTGAAGGGAGAACCCCAGAGACTATGGCAGTGGGTAAGCAGAGGGTATTGGGATCTAAGTCCTACTGGTGAGTCCTTCTGCCTCATTTAGGGCTGTGTGTGCCTCTCACGTCCCTGGTTGGTACAAATGGTTTTTACTTGACTACATAACCATATTGGAAGCAGGAGTGGCATCCACTTCTGTAAATAGCTTGCCTCTGGAAACCCTATGAACCTGGAGAAAGGATGAAAGTCATGCACACACGTGTCGAGGATTTTCATTCACAGGGTTGCTATGAGTCACCTACAACTCGATGGCACTTAACAATAACAACATAACAACCATAAGTTGGTTTTTTGAACCTATCAAGTAACACCATTAAATGAAAGATCTTCTCATCTACTTCCCATGAAGATGATTTCTAAAACAACACTAAAGAGCTCCTCTGCTCATGGTGTTGCAGTGAGTTGCAATGAACCCTTCCACAGCTGCTATACTTTACCTTTGTGTGTTGGTGAGTTTCCACACTCTAGCTATTAGAAATTGATGGTACAATCTGTAGTTCCATTCTAATTTAACCCTCCAATGTTTCTGTTTGGTAAAGTTTTAATTGATACAGACTTTCCAGTTGAAACCCCTTACCAGAGGCCTGTCTTGAAGGTCTTGCAGGCCTGGTTAGTGTCAGCAGTTGGTCTGTCTGTCATATTGCCATCAATACCTGCTTACTGTGAAAATGAAGGTCACTTGTTACCTGTTCCCTAAGGACTGTCCTGTAATCTATTATAGACGTTGGACTTCACAATGATTTCACGAATTCCAACTCAGCATCCTATAGTAACTCATAATAACTTGTCTTTAGATCAGCAGCCAGGTTCTGGGACAGGAAAGTTCACCTGAGGAGATGGAGTCTGCAAGCTGCCAAATGACAGAGGCAGAGGCCAGTCTTAAAGTGGTGCCTCAGGAGCTGGGACTTCAGAATTCATCCTCAGGGCCTGAGGAGCAATTGAGCCTCATCATCAAAGAGGAAGTGGACACTGAGTTGGAATTAGGTGAGGGCCAGTTCTTATTCATGATGACCTTGGGGAAGTCTTGAAGAAAATTAGGTTCCTGTTGTCAGAGTTGAAAGTGTATTCAGATTGCAGTGCCCCTTGAAACAAGGTTGATGCACACAAGTCAGTCTGATTAGGAGATTCCATGCCTGCATTTTCAACCACATTAAATCTGCATTAGACCATTTGGATTTTGGACTTTAATAAGGAGGGGAAAGAATATGGCTGAGGGTCTTTGGGATGTTAGAGGGATTTAGACTTTGTTAGTAATAATAGTACAACTCTTGAAATTGTGGCTGGAAGTGTCAGTTCTAATTTGGCAATGTTTTTCTGTTTGTTTCCTTTATATCCTGAAGGAAGCAAGTTAGAGAAGGAGAACTTTCCTAACACCAACAAAAAAGATCCAGGAGTGGAGAACATATTTAGATCTGGGGAGTGACTAGGAATGGCCTCTAGATTCTTAAAACTTCTTTTTTCTCACTTCAGTGATGACTGCTCCCCACCTTCTTGCCACATCTGAGGAAAGGCTCCTCAGTGACCAAGACTCAGGAGGTTCACTTCTCCAAGCATCATCTCAGGTGAGTCAGTTTCTCTGTTTTTCTTCTCTTTGACCAGTTTTGAGGATTCTTGAGTAGTCACGAGGACTGAAATGAGTGCATTCTCAGAAGTGCAGTGGAAGAGAGGGCCTCATTAGGAGAACAGGAACAGTACACATGCAGAGGAACTTGAGTTTCAGTGTTTGTCTCAGGTCTTCTCGAGGTACAATGTTTTTTCTAATTGCCATTTAAATCCATTTCTCTCTAAGAATGTAAGTCCTGAACAAAGATGGAAAAGACATATGATCAGACATATTTTATCTCAAAACCACAACACTCATGTGAAAGATAAAAGGAGAAGGAAGCAAGTTAGAGAAGGAGAACTTTCCTAACACCAAGAAAAAAGATCCAGTAGTGGAGAATATATTTAGATCTGGGTCCTGTGCTGAGAACCTCACAGGCCTGGAACAGAGAGTGGCCGAGGTACATCACCCAGGAATGCCTGGCTCACACCTATTGAAGAGACAAGAACTTTTCCCCAGAGCTGACAGAGGAAAACCTTGTGGAGTTAGTGTCCTGAATTTGGACTTCTGGCTTTCTAAGGTAGGAGAGAATAAATTTCTATTCAGAAAGCCATCCACTGGTCTTTGCCTCTAGCTATGATAAGCATGTCGTAACCTGTACATTTCCTCTTGTACTTTTACATTCCCTCTCTCTTCCCTTTCTCTGCCTTTCCCCTTTCCATTCTGGATAGCTATTGATCTGATTTTTGTTGTCATAGATACTACAATTGTATATAAAGTGGAATCATCCTATATTCTTCCTTTGTTTTACATGTGATGTGTTTTCCTTTTTTTAACTATTTTCTCACTTTCTCTCTGGTTTTAAAAGATTGATAGCAGTGTACCTAGAAATTATTTATGTATCTTATGACTGAGGTTCATTCAGCTTGGATGTGAGTTTCTAGTTCTCAAGACATTTAGAAATTTTTTTTGGCCTTTATTTGTTCAACTACCTCTATTTTCCCCCATTCCCTCGTGTTTGCTGTGAGATGTAATGGACTCAACACATAAGAACAATAGATTGATGAATACCTTGAATTACAAGTGCAGTATTTCATAAAGCAGATGAAGGATCAGGAGGGATCTATAAACCTGATTCTTCCCCACCCCATTCTTGATGAGAATTTAGGTGAGGACTAAGGCTCCAAAAAATTTAACAACTTGCTGAAGGTCATTGACTTCCTCTTTTGAGTCTTTAGTTCTGCACAGCTCAGAATTCAAACTCATTGTTGTTGAGTCAGTACTGACTCCTATCTGACACTCTGGCAGGCTTTGAGAAAATGTAAATTTCATGAGTGGAGACTCCCCATCTTTGTCCTGTGGAGCCAGTTGTGTATTTGAACCACCAGAGAAGCACCATGTCTGGCTTGGCAGCACAGTTATCTACAGAGAAGGCACCAGAACTCCCTCTACTTCATTTATTGTTGTTATGAACTGTCTAGTTATAATTGATGCCTTTGAGCTGTGGTGCTGGAGAAGAGTATTGAGAATACCATGGACTGCTAGGAAAACAAACAGATTTGTCCTGGAGAGGGTTAAACCGGGTAGCTCCTTGGAGGTAAGGATTCTGAGGCTCCGTCTAACTTACTTTGGACATGTTGTGAGGAGAGACCGGTCCTTAGAGAGGGACATCATGCTTGGGAGGGTGGAGGGACAGTGCAGGAGAGGAAGGCACTCTATGAGGTGGATTGATTCAGTGACTGGGATAATTGGGATGGGAGTGTCAGAGAGAGTGCGATTGGCACAGGACAGAGCGGAGTTTAGGGCTGTTGTACATAGGGTCGCTATGAGTCGCAGGTGACTTGACGGCACATAACAACAACAACAACAACAACAGTTGGAACTGACACATAACTGACCCTTTAGTGGGTTTTTATAATTCACAAATCAAATGGGAAGAGATTGCCCTCTTTTTTTCCTACACAACAGCTATAGTTTTGAACTGTTGATCTTTGGATTGGCAGTGCAATTCCTTACCATTAAGCCATGAGAGAACTTTCCTAAAGATGTCTTGTGAGGCTACCCTATTCATGACATCTCATCCATTGTATGAGTGCCATATCCTAAACCCAGGATTCTTAAGAAATTACAGGGCTGTGTTTCACTTTCTCTGAAAACACCAGTCTTGTCTCTGGATGGAGCTTAAACACAGTCAGCTTCAATGTTGATGATTCCCTCTGTTCTGAAATTTGCACTGGCAACAAATTCCATTTAGTTTTCTTTATACTTTGGGATTTTTAGATTTCATTTTAATTATTGGGCATGTGAGTTTCTTACACTAAGTTGTTTAGAGAGTAGAAAAAGAATGTGGGAGATTGAGAAACATACTGCTAGTATGCTATACATTCAACAGGAAGAGTTTCCCTTTAAAGACATAAAACTTAAAAAAAATACACATAGAAGTTAAATCCTTTCTTTTGAATGACTTTATTATTAATAAATAAAACAATTACTGGGGTTTTTTTGGGAAAAAAAAGAAGTTAAATCTTTAAGGCTGCCTACTTAGAACTACATGGTCTTTGCCATTACTTGGTATGCATCAGAGAGCTGGACAATGACTAGGGATGATAGAAAGAATTTATTCTTTTGTGCTGGAGAAGACTATTGAATGAACCATGGACAACCAGGAGAACAAACAAGTTCCTCCTGGAGAGGATGAAGCCAGGCTGCTCCTTGGAGGCAAGGATTCTGAAGCTTCGTTTGACATACTTTGGACATGTTGTAAGGAAGGACCAGTCCTTGGAGAGGGACGTCATTCTCGAGAGGGTGGAGGGACAGTGCAGGAGAAGAAGACCCTTGATGAGATGGATTGATTCCATCACTGAGGTAATGGGGATAGGCGTGTTGGACATGGATTGATTCTGTCACTGAGGTAATGGGGATAGGCATGTCAGAGACAGTAAGATTGGCAAGGGATAGAGGAGAGTTTAGGGCTGTTGTATATAGGGTCACTATGAGTCGCAAGCAACTTGACGGCACATAACAACAACAGCAACTCAGAACTAGACATGCTGCAGTAGGGACTGTAGTTTTGTTCTTGGTTACTTCCTCCATTAATATCTTTCTCAAAGTTTCTCTTACCTCCTGGTACTTAGGCTCTTTTGGCACATTCATTCCTTTTCATGTTTCCTTTAGGCACTGTCAAGTACCTTCCTTTGGCACCATGTTTAAGGGCATGATATTGTATTTTTTCCAGGTGCAGTGGAGATACTTGGATTCTACTCAGAAGGAGCACTACTGGAACCTCATGCTGGAAAACTATGGGAAAATGGTCTCAGGAGGTGAGGGCATAGCTTACCCAGTGGTTGGAGGTGGAAGGCTAGGAATTCTTAGGCAATGTTTATATTCATTTTTAGACACAAGTTTACTCTGAAGGTCTCAGGCAGGGAAATCATTAGTAACACACTTTGGAATTAGGGTGAGGGGAAGCTAGCAGAGGTATAGCCAGAATTCTTGGAGCTCTAGTGGGTGCACTGCATACAATAACTCCTTTATCTCTATGTCAGGCCTATGAAGTGGTGACGTTGTTCCATATTGAACATGATGAAGGTATCAAGTCAAGTTAGTAGCTCCCTGTCACGGCAGTCCTAAGTGCTGGATAGAACTCAGGATAGTTGGCTTGGAGTCCATGCTCTTTTCCGCTGGACCATACTGCCTCTCTCAAATGAGGATGAACTTCAGTCATGACCCTAGCCCACCCTCATAGGTGATCTGCAGGCCCTTCTGTTTTCTTCCTAAGATTGTGCTTTTCCTCCTTTTCATTATATTTCCTAATATCTCATGAGTGCTAGTCTGATAGGCTCATGTCCTTCTCAGATGTATGTCCTGTCCAGGGCCTGTACAGTTCCTTTAATGTTATTTAGGAGACTCCTTTAAAAGACAAGCTCTCTCCATCATCATTGCTCACACAGGCTCACAAGCTAATCTCTGTCAGGCACAGCCAGTTCTAAACGGGACTCAGCTAATTCAGCAAAGTATGAAAAAGAGCCTGCAGGACTCCCCTTTCATGCCACTGAGAAGATCCCACCACTCACCTGCAAGGATGAGTGAGCTTCTATTGGTCCTGAGGCATTTCTGACCTTTCCTTGTTAAGGCTCATGTGGTGGTTGACGTGGTTACCCTTTGGCTTCTATTCCTTTGTTGTAACTAGCCAAGGATAGGTTAGCACAGTTGTAATATTGATGGTGAACCTCTTCATCAGTGTTTCTTGAGCTGTTGACACATGTAATTAACATTTGAACAATAGGTTATGTATAATTGTTGTGATTGCTTTTCTTCAGTGAATATTAAGATTGATATAGATTGAGTCAGATATCTAAGTAAAATTCCATTAAAAGTTTATATAAATGCCATCATTATCCTTAATGGAAAGATTGTTCAAAGTAGTTTTCTTTTATTCTAGTTATAATGAACAGTAACCAACTCACTCTAGGAGTACATAGTACTACATAGGACTAACATAAGGCAGAATTGATTGAACAACAGCAGAAAGTGGTCCATATTAAGAATGTAATGTCACCAAAACAAGATAAAGGTAAATAATCCAGTAGAAAAATGGGCACAGGATATGAACAGACACTTCACCAAAGAAGACATTAAAATGGCCAACAAGCACATGAAGAAATGTTCAAAATCCCTAGCTCTAA